TTCTCATATTTGTAAAGTTTCTGTTTATGTGCACTTCAGACTTCAGTTATGCATATACAAATAATATCTCCACAATGGTGAAGGTTATAATTGTGGCATTTAAAAAAATAATAATGCCTCCTTTAACCAGTAAGTATATCTATATTCCTTTGCAGTGGTAGGGTTCTTGAGTCCTAACCTTCCTGAAATGTCTTCTTCTAACAAAAAATCTTATTTAGACACATTTTCTCAAAGGCAAAAAGTCAAAAATTTGTTTCCCTATTAATAGCATGTACCTAACCATTAAATGTAAGATGTTTTTTCTAGAGATGAATCTAATCTCAGTTTGGTCGATCTAGTCAGTCAGGTTAAATATTATAAAAACGATTGACTCAAACAATTTACTAATACGGAATCCAATTTATAAAATATATTAACAAATCGATAAGATATCAACAAGCTATTGAACAATAATTATTATACTCGTAGAACTTGAGAAAGTGACGGAAATGTTTTTGGGCCCTTAGAAATTATTTGTGAGGGTTTAAGCCCCGTAATGGTTATCGGGGATTAGCATCAAAGGATTTTTGTTATTTTGTGAAAGGATTACCTAAGGAATATAGATATACGTACCTACTGGTTAAAGCAGCCATTATTATTTTTAAATGTTCCACCATCATAAACTTCTCTATCGTGTGGAGATATTTGTGTATCAAGTATAACTACTACTAAGTACATAATACAAGAACGATACATACAGTAAACTGTAAAACCTCCTTAACGGAATCACTAGGTACCAAATGATATTTTGGTTATAAAGAAGTTTCCGTTGTAGGGAGACTAAAATAAACTGTATAATACGGGACTTTTATTGTTATTTTCCATTGCAAAGCGATTTCCTCCTTACGAGGGGTCCGTTATAAGGAGGTGTGACTGCACTTGTCTTAACCAGCATATTATTTTATAATTATTTTAGACGTATGAACAATAATTGTATACCAAACCTCATTTGTTTTGGTATTTAATTTAATATACACTAACACATTTTTACATATCATATTAGTAGTAGTAGTAGTAGCAATATTACCTATTATATTGTATCATCTATTATAATATAGATTTTACCTGCTAGGTAATTATGATGATTAATGATTTAAAACAATATGTTATAATATTCTAGAATAATTATTGTAGTTTATAAATTGCAGTCTCACAAGGGTTTACTTATTTCAAATCCGCATTACCCCGCCACTTCAAATCAGCAAATCCTCGTGGGACATCCTGCATATTATATACAGCCAAGTTTAGAACGAGTAGTATAGATAATTAATCATAAAACTTTTAAAAGCATTTTGGTGTTTGACAGTTGAGGAATCTATGTGTGAGTAGGTATCTTATTTGTTTATATTTAATAATAAATTGGTCAATATTTAATTTTATGTACCAATAAATTAACACTGGGTCCCCTGTTAATGTACTTACATTAACGTTTATTATTATTTATTAGTAATTTGGATAATTTTAAACCTTTCTGGTATTTAAGATTTTCGTTTTATTTTTTTGTAATATTTACTACTGTATAGTATCTCTTGTAACTGAAGTTAATTAAAAAATTAATTTTTAATGTTCATTTTTTTTATATTTGAAATTGTTTAATAGATATTTTTACATATATCAGTTAGGATGTAGGAAAATTATTTTAATGATTGAATTTGAAGATTGTTACATTGTTAGAAACTGCGTTAGAGTTTTAAGTGGATGAGCCGCTGTTGGTTCCAATTAAAATTTAAACTTGCACAAGTTTTTGAAGTACCTACTTATTCGGAATTTAACAATTTCACATTTCAATGAATTACCAACAATACAAGAACTGACTTTCGGAAAGCCTGATATATTTTATAAATTTTAAGACTTATTAACGATATAACTGACGATGTAGGATAGTCAGGCGTATAACACCCATTCAAAATTCAAACATTTGGAGTAGAGTTTAAATATCTCTTAAAAGGATTTAATTATCAATATTATAGTGATACTATCAAAAAAAATTAATCCCAATAATAAAATGTTATAACTCTAGATTATTGTGACTTATGAGCTTATATTATTATGTTCATTGACTTTTCGATTCTCATAAGTATCCTAATTTAATTCTGTTTGGATTTAGGGATTTATACTTACCACCTTTACGAAGGTATACGAATCGGTGTAAAGTAGTTACACGTTTGTTCACATGATAATATTACAATAATATTTATTATATTTATGCAATTTCTGGGACGTGTGAAATATAATTATTACCTTAGTACAGTGTATCGGATATTATAATGAGTATCATGAAGTGTAACACGTGGAACATGATAATGCATTCGAAATGTAGGCATTTTTTGTGAAAAATGTATTGATGTCTCAGTTGTTATTCGACAGAAATGTGATGTTTTTTCCGAATCGTAATTTTACAAAATGCGTATGAGAAAATCATTTTTTAATTCCAGTTAGAAAACTTAAGAAGAAACTTGTGCTAAACTCTTTTGCTGAGTTTATTTATATAATATGTTTATAAACATTTGTAGAAAAAAAACTTATGATAAGATGAAATTCCATCTTCCGTGACAACGTTGATGCTGCCGTCGCCCCGGTGCCACCACTTCCGGTACTGTCGGCGGGCTGGGGCTCAATATTATTTTGTCTGACTTCATGAAGCTGAAGTCGGTCTAAAATCTATACTATAATTGTAGTCCTGATTAAATTAAACGAAGGCAGTCATTGATGCCGTGGCCTGGCCAAACAGTGCGGTGAGATCGTTAATCATTTTTTGGGAGTCGTGGACTTGCGCTTGCAGCTGGTCGGCGAGCTCGCTGGACACCATCTCTACCACTATCACATGCAGGCCCCTGTACTAAATGTTTTTGAGAGTCCTATAAAATAAGTATTTTTATCAACATTTTAAAATTTACAAATTCATTTCAACGGGCCCATAGAATAGTCGGGCCTTTAAAGTTTAAACTGCATGTCAAACAGCTCCCCTCCCCATCGTGGCAGTACCAACTGGCAGTACTACATGAGTTAAATAAGTTTTTTACAACCAACATTTTTCTAAAAACCAGAATTACAAATCGACTATTTTGAAGTTTTCTAAAAAACATTATACCAGATTTATCTTTTTATTTTTCAGTATTAAAAAGTAAAAATAAAAAATGTTATACCATACGTGCAGCTTAAGCGCAAGATTAAAAAAAAAAGATTAGAACAAAAGTTATTGAATTTGTCAGGTCTTCCTGTTACACTATGCGTATAGATACAAATCAATACATATTATACTATAATATACTTATGTACAGAATAGTTATTGTTTTTGATTTTATTCAGCGTGAAAAAATAAAATAAATTACTAGAGAATTCACAGGGTAAAAACTACTACCTATATAATTATGGCAAAACGATTATTGATTTTTAAAAAATATATATATATTTAGAACAAAACACAAAAACACAAGAAGGTACAGCTACTATATACAGCATAAACCTCAAACGACTTGAATTTGAATAGGTGAAAAATAAATGCCAACAAATATACGGCAATAGTATTTTGGACGAGCTACACGATGGTTACGAAACATAATAGGTGTTCGATACTTATAAGTAGGAATTTATAGATATGTACATAATATTATATTATGTATATTGTTTAAACACTTCCACGCGTAAGCACTGAAATAGTACAATAGCATTATGCGTTTTGGTCGGACGTTGGTGTCACCAAACAAACTGTATTTTGTATTACAATATTATGAAGTGTTGACTCGTTGAGGTGTCGGATGCATGTCAGATATATAGTATAAACCTGTAAAGAGAGTCTTCGTACATACAATCAAAGAGAAATCGTTCAAAGAAATCAGGTTAGACACACGTCGCAAGTTCAAAAATAAATTGTTTAAAACCCCATTATATGCTGTAATAATAGCATAAACTTATTATAGGTATAGTTATAATAAAACCAAAACTTTGAACTATAAGTTATGACACTTATAGCTCTAGTCTATATATGTTAGCGTTAAAGTATTTAATGGCGATATTTCATGAAATACCTAGCTATTATATACATTAACCAAATCAATGCGATAAAACATATAATATTAAATTTAACTAGGTATTTTATGAATTCCCCGCGATTGCTCAGTTATAGTTTATATATTAGATTTCGTTAAGATAAGGCGAGATAACGTCAATAATAAGTGACGATCAAATCATAGAACAATATAGAAGCGACACTCGATCAGCTGATGGGTGAAGTGTTTACCTATGATCTGAAGTCCGAACATTCAAACTGTTTCCGTTTACCAACATGATGTTATACCCGTATTGAAAAACCGTTTCCGATTAATAGGCAGGGTATTCTGCGCGGGGTCGGGTTGTTTCCAGCATAGAAAAATTGTTTCCACTGTTTACTGTAACGTATGCCACGCCCCTTTAGAGACCATTTTCAAGGCCACAATCGCCCGATCCGACCAATTCACGGAGTGTCGTACCCCTGATCAAATCTAACCCAACGTTCCAATCAATTTATTAATAGTCGCTGTCAAATTGATCTTATAGATTTTCAATCACAACCTGATAGAGATTTTAAATTTATATGTGTCTATCAAGATCATTTAACAAAATTTTGTATTTTAAAACCCTTAACTTCAAAACGAGCAGAACAAGTCGCATGTGTGTTATTAGATATTTTTTGTTTATTTGGTGCCCCCGCTTCTCTTCAATCTGACAATGGTAGGGAATTTTGTAATGAACTAATTAATTCATTGCGTGAAATGTGGCCTGATTTAAATATCGTTCACGGGAAACCACGGCATAGTCAGTCGCAGGGCAGTGTTGAACGAGACAATCAAGATATTGAAAACATATTGACAACTTGGATGCAAGATAATAACACCAATAAATGGAGTGAAGGACTCAGATTCGTTCAATTTATGAAAAATAAAGCCTATCATTCTGGAATTAAACGAAGCCCATACAATGCGATGTTTGGAACTGACCCTAAAACTGGCCTAACATCAAGTATATTGCCAAACACTATATTACTGCAAGAAATACCATCAACCGAAAATAGAAAACGCAAACAAACAGAAGAACGACAAAATGCAAGAGACAACTTAGAAATACAAGCGAAAAAAATGAAGAATTTATCAAATGCTAAATTTCCAGAAGCAAAAGAAGATTCAACAGTTCAACTTAAAATTCCTGATGTTGATAGAGGGAGGGGAGATCCTCGATCGGTAATTGCTGTGGTTCTCAAAATTACTGAAGACGGGTTCTATCAACTTGGATGTAAAAGTGGTATGTATAAGATTTGTTACATATTATTTACATTTAAATAATACCTTAACTTTTAAAATTATAGGTATTTTAAAACAGCTATATGCACGTTCCCAATTTACTACGTGTTCAGAAAACCTTATATCATTAAGCGATATACCTCAAGATAAACAAATTTCTCTACGATCTGCAGCTACAGAACAATCAATTGGAAATGGACAAGGTTTTTTTAAATGTACTTGTATCACTAAATGCACCACTAATCGATGTATATGCCGTAAAAATGGTGTTTTGTGCAATTCAAAATGTCACCAAAATCAATCGTGTACTAATTTTGACAAATAGTGTAGATAATATAATTTTTATTCATTGTAACGTAATGTAAAAAAAAATTGTAAACATGACTAAGATAGATCCAAAACCAATCTTGTATAAAATATTTTTATGATTTATTAGATTTTTTTTAGAATAATTTATAACATCAATTAATATTAATAATATTCACTTTATATTCACAAATCACAATTATCCACTTTAACTAGTTATTAATTTAAAATGTAAACACTTTAACGATTCATTATCTGTAATTCTATAATATAACTAGTTATTTTATGCATTTTCAAGATAAAGTATTTATATAATTTGAATGTAAACACTTTAACTAGAATGTTACGTTAAACTATAAAATAACTGGTTTAATACTTTAACGGTAACATATACATACCGTGAACCTATTGTATACGTTAAAGTTTATTTCACTCGATAATTAATTAATTGTGAATCCAAAAAAAAGTACAATTCTAACATTTTTTTTTAGTTTTAAACTATCCGAAACTATGAACACTATAATCAAATTTAATGCTATATTAGACTTACTACCTATATTTATTTGTTAAAGTTGTATTTTTTTAACAAGCTGCTCAGTGTCCAATTCCTAAATTCTAAACAAAATATAGAAACATAAATAAAAAACGTGGGAAAGTATATGTCGCTCTGCTGTACAGTAGGTTACAAGTGGGTTACTGTAATGGATAGTGTTAAATTTGAATTAAATTATATAATATCTTATATCATTGTATAAGAAAAAGATTCTGAGCCAAAACGGTCTGTCAGCCTATGATATTACTAAGTATTTGATGATATTAAAGTGATTTGTGAATAAATAGTAATTTATAATATATAATCTACTTACGTGGAACCTTGTTTTAAATTTTCAATCCTTAAGTATAAAAGTAGAACATTTTATACATTTTAATTACAATATAATTATTAAATTTTAAATTTGGTAAATTTTATCAAAATTCGACCTTTAAATGCTTATAAAAAAAAATTGTGCCTATGTATTTTTAATATTTTTCAACTGCTATAATAATAATTAATAATATATCAGTAACCTTGTATTAATTTTTTCGCACTCATTTTTACCCAATAAATAAATTTTTATTGACAATATTATAAAAAAAAAAAAAAACTAAAAAAATTTAAAACTGACAATGTCCGTAAGTCGTAACTTGCTCAAAAAGAGTGATGGTGTATAGGAAATAAAAATATAAATATTCAGTGAAATTTTCATGTATTTACAGACTTACAGTTATTCGTTTTTGAATTACAACAAAATAACGAAATCGCTACATGAGAAATCGAGTGAATATCCAATCTTGTAAAAATATGAACTTCAAACGATCATAAAAATTTAATTTGACATGCTTGTAGACATTGTTTTTTGATAGAGGTAGGTAAACTTATAATACATCTTGTATAACTTTTTAAGATCTTAGATTTCAAAAGAAAAATTTTTATGAATTTCTAACTCAAAATAATTTGCACAGTTTTTTGAATTTTTCGTATTTTATCAATATTTGAAGGAGTCTTGTATTAAATTTTCAAGCTTTTGTTTTCCACGGCGCTTTTGAAAACTTCCAGATAATTTTTACTTTTGACCCCCTTAAAGTACCAATTAGATTCACTTTTCTATAACAAAATATACTATTGAAGAAAATCTAAGCACTTTTACTGTCCTAAAATAGACACAAAAAAATTTCTTGAAAAAAAAAAACACATAATTGTTAAATCAAAACATTATCATTGCTCAGCTCAGAATCTAAAATATCTACCGAATTCTTACAAAGAACTTGTTTCCGATTCTTATAATAATAAAATAATAATAATAGAGAACGGTGGAGAATGCAAAAAAAAACACTGTGACACATCTGTTAACGATCATTTATATTTTGTATTACATGAAATCATTTAGGCGATAATTTATTTTGCCCTCCTGCTATTTCAGCACTTAAAAAATAAATAAATATTTTTTATGAAAATTTCTCAGACCGGCTTTTGTTGTTTTTGAATGCATATATATATAGAGTGATTCGTTTAAAGCGCAACACCGTGGTTATTGTACACCCGTTAAGTGTTTTGTTATACACTTTAATTGTTTGTTTATACTTCGATATATTTCACAAAAAGCTTATAAAATTACCTACTTAAAATCGGGGCAAATGTAAATGAATACAAATAATTTAATAATGAATTAGTTAACTTTTATTTATTGGAAAAAATCTTTAAGCTCAAGCCCTCTACCATCACCACTTTTTACGATTACTTTTCGAATATCAATTTAAAATGCCATTCGATGTTTATCAAAATTTTTAAACGGGTAAACAGAAATGATCATATTATTATGACAGCATTATACTTTTAATATAAAATATATAAAATATATTTCAATGTAAACCCATAATTGAAATCGAATTCACTACTATTTATAGTGCTATATTATATTTTAATCATAAAACTTTTTAACATGTTCTCATAATATCACAAAATTAATTATATGCATTTTCTGTATTACCTGTATGACAAATACACTACGTACTATAGTATATTATATCAAAAGTTAAAAATATTTAGGATCTAAATAATTATTGTACGACATAATTTTATAATTAAATAAAAAATAATCGTTTGTAGATAATATATTGTAATTCACATGCAATTTTTATTGTTCTAAATTATACCTACAAAATTAAATATACTGTTTTTAAAATAAGATCACATCGATCGTGATGTTTCTGGTTTCTCCGTTAACCATTTTTAGTTTTTTTGTACATAAAATAGGGAATTTCTATAAATCAATCATTATTAATCATTTTGAATATCAAATTAAACGTTCATACTTAAAGCCCTAACTAATAGTTCATGAGCAAATTATATCATAAATTAAATACAGGGGATTTGTCTCCTGTAATACACTTATGCACTATAAATTATAATACTTAATAATATGTAGGTACTGTAAACTATTAAAATTATTATTAATTCGTCTAAAATCTATGTTTACATTTTTGTCAATAATTACTTTGTTTTAAGAAGAATATGATTTAGTAATTTATAAATGATATTTATAATTAAATTATAAAATTTTACAATAATTCTATTGTAATATAATATTATTAAAAGTTAAAACTATATAGGTAATATATAGATTATATTTTCAACAAACAAACTTTATATCTATAATTTTTAATTTAATTTAAATTTATTTATTTTCCAGTATTGTATTCTTCCAAAAAATTTAAATAACACACAATAATAATAAACATGAAATATATTTTAGAACACAAGTGACCAATTATAGCCATTATCGCCCAGACTCGAATAAATTAAACGTTTATTTATTAATTATATGTAATTTTCACACATTAACACTATAGGTACCTAACGGCTAACATCCTCGAAATAATTTATTCAGGTTTCAGAAAGTAATAGCAATCAATATTCAATATTATACATATTATTAATTGGGAGGTATAAAAAATTATTTAAATATAATATAACAATATATATTACTACAGTGGGTGTATGCATTTAGTTTCCAACCTTAAATTTCAATTTGCGTGGTAAAAATGAAGTTGAATCGTAATAAAAATTAAATAAAAATGAAATTTAATAATAATTATAAAATACATATTATCAAAAATAGTACATACCACAAATGAGGACTTCAGCGTTTCCCCAAGCCATAAAAACGCTTATTGTTATGTTATAGTAAATAAAATAATCATATTAATAAATTGTCCAATGTGTAGTGTGTGACTTTACATTTTAATACATTTATAAAAAAATATACAATTTTCCTGAGACTAGTGCTATTCATAATCTAACCGAGGAACGTACGTGCGTGAAGTTGGCATCCGACATCCACCGATCAGATCCGAACCAATCAATATCATTTTTTTTTTAAAGGTTAGGTTAAAAGTTCTACGTGAGGAACGTGTTAATAATGTTATAAAAACTGAGGGAAACGGTCAAACTCCAGAGCTCGTAGATAAAATGTGTAAAAGTTACTTACGCACATTGTTTCGAATACGGTAAGCCTCAAAACAAATACAATCTGTTTATAACAATGTATACATAAATATTCTATACACCAGCCATTTGAATTGAAAACATATATATTCGTGTAAGGTAAACTTGATCTGTACAGGTACCCACTACCCAGGACCAAACGAATAGTAATTAAATCTAAACCTTCCGATTTCTATCCACGTGAGTTCAACTTCAAACATTTAAATAAAAGTAAAAATATATGAAATCTTGTATCACACGCGGCGCTAAAACGCTAAGCCATCGCGAGTTCCCTTATAATAATAATTATTACGGTTTATGAAATATCATGGTGTAATTATACTTCATAGTGTGGGTATATATGATATAAATATGCCATGAAGTAAACCATTGTTGCCATTCAAAATTACCACGACATATTATCTATACGTATTTATTAAATTAAATATCGCGCATACAAGGGCACGTTGTACCTACGGTATAATTAGACAGATAACCAAGTTAAAACCATAAATACGATCGAAACATAAAATTAATTTTCCACTCTGTACGCTATGCTGCAGTAGCAGCTAATATAAACTGTATACGATGTAATATGGGTAATAACTGCAACCACTAATAGGTAGGTATAATAAGTAATAACTAATATAAAATATACGGTGTAAAGGGAAAAGTGACCCGAACAAAAACAAAATACTCTCCACACTGTATTATTAATTTTAGCTTAAATAATGCCGCTTTGATATTATTTTCAAATCTCATTATGACTGCCATATAATATTGAAAAAGTTTTCGGTACGAATCATTACGAAAATAATAACGCTCTCAGTCTCTAGACGAACGACGTCATTACTCAGTAGGTACCTATCTCCAATTCCGTGATTAAAATTATTCAAAAGAAGTCAACACGTGTCAATTATTATACAGCCATCGTCAGTCCAAGTGTCTATATTATTATCTTCCAATTTATTAGATATATATTATAATAATATACC